TCGACCGAATTTGGTTTTCGCAGTCTCGATACTTCGTAGTAAGAAATATTTTATAAAGTCGTGTATATAAGGATCGGAAATAGGGCGATAAGGATTTTTGCTTAACAAACATGTTTTTAAAACCCTGGAGTTTTTAGCTCGACAATCCATATTTTAACTTCAGTTAAGTCATTTTTTTTTATTTTCACTGAGCTTTCTTAACAATTATCATTCCAGCTGAAACGAGGTATGCGTTCACTTTTTCAAGGGCAATGCACCATACGGGAGCGATCAGACTTTTAAATTGGCCACGCTCTCCTCCACCCGTACACGACCATCCATCGAGAAAATTAAAAACCAAGGCATGGACACCTGGAATTATTCCCGGATGTTGCATCACCTACGTTGACAACCGTTTTCCCATTCGCGGCTAATTAGTCATCGTCGCGTGATAAGATTTGTGACCCTTTTCTGAAAATCCGAGGTGAATCCGTTGTTAAAAAAAGAAGGACGATTATTTTAAACAAGCTGTTCCACACCAACGCGAAAAATGAGTATAACGCAAAAAAAGGGTTCTTCTCACACTTTCTATAATTTTCCATTGCGTGATCTCTCACAGATCGTTTCTTTTAATAGTTACTCCGTCAAAAGGAACATTTTTTGTCCAAAGGAGAGTTTTTGCTAAGCTGGACAAAATGGTGACTAAGGCTCGGTGGATTAAACGAGGACACCGACAAACTTCTCTTCCTAAACAAAACTTAACAATGGTCAGCATAATAAACAAACCGAAACAATTTCTCAATTAATATCATCTTTAAAATGTTATCACACTCAATACGGATTTATACGACTATGTTTCGACATTTGTACCAGCTTTTTAAGGGAAGAATAAAATACCGAATCGGGCTGTCGGTTCACTAACGAGCAAAGAAAAGCCCAAACCAGCAACTTTAGAAGCTGATAGTAAGCTATAAGCGCAAAGAAGTCAAGCACATAGAAGTACACTTCAAATATTAACAACAACTAACAACAAAATAATTAACCTGACTTACTAGCAAAGAATAGTCCACTCCAGTAAGTACAAGTGGGCGACTTTTAAATAAAAAAAAGCTTGAAGCTAGAAGCTGATGGTAAACTATAACCAAAAAGAAGTCGAGCACATATCCTATGTTGTAAAGATCTAACAACCAGAAAGCGTAACCTAATTCACTAGAAAGAAAAGCCTACTCCAGAAAGTATAACTGAAAGCTTGAAGTTACAGAAGCTGTCGGAAAGCTATATGCGAGGAAGATCGAGCCCACAACAGTGCATATATGCTTTATGACCTAACAACTAGATAATTTAACCTCACTCACTAGAAAGAAAAGCCGACTCCAGCAAGTATAACGGAGTAACTGTTAAATAAAAAAAGCCTGAAGCTATAGAAGCTGATGGTAAGCTATAACCGAAAAATAGAGCAGCGCTCAACAGTACATATCAAGTGTAGTATAGATCTAACAACCAGACAGTTTAACTTAACTTACAAGAAAGAAAAGCCCAGTCCCGCAAGTATACCTGAGCAACTGTTAGGTAAAAAAAAGGTTGAAGCTATAGAAGCTGATGGTAAGCTATAACCGAAAAATAGAGCAGCACTCAACAGTACATATCAAGTGTAGTACAGATCTAACAACCAGACAGTTTAACCTAACTTACTAGAAAGAAAACCCCACTCCAGCAAGTATAACTTAAAGCTTGAAGTTACAGAAGCTGATGAAAAGCAATAAGCGAGAAAGGTCGAGCCCTCAGCAGTACATATCATATGCTTTATGAGCTAACAACTAGATAGTTTAACCTAATTCGCGAACAAAGAAAAGTCTACTGCGGCAAGTATAACCAAGCCACTATTAGGTAATAAAAAGCGTGAAAAAAAGAAACTGGTGGTAAGCTATAACCGAAAAGAAGTCGACCACAGCAGTACATATCATATGTTGTACAGATCCAACAACCAGATAGCTACTAACTTACTAGCAAAGAATAGCCCCTCCAGCAATTAACCTGAGCAATTGTTAAGTAAAAAAAAGGCTGAAGCTATAGAAACTTATGGTAAAGTATAGCAGAAAAGGAAAGCAGCACACAACAGTACATATCAAATGTTGTAAAGATCTAACAACCAGATAGTTTAACCTAACTTACTAGAAAGAAAAACCCAATCCATCAAGTATAACTTTAGAAGCTGATGGAAAGCTATAAGCGAAAGCGTCGAGCACACAGCAATACGTTTCAAGGTTATTAAGATCTAACGACCAGATAGTTTAACCTTTTAAGGTTTTTATCAATTATGACAAAAGTATAAAATATGTAATTATCGGGCTGTCGGTTCACTCACGAGCGAAGAAAAGCCCGAAGCTATAGACGCTATAGGAGAAGAGGAGTACAATAGTCCATCATATAGTCAAAAATTCACTTGCTTTTCCTATTATTACGATTTATGGACATATTTTGAAATAAATTGACTATTATTAATGTACAGCATTGGCTAAGTTTGCTTTCTTCTGAGGTTTCTTAAAAATTGGATATTTCAAAGTCGATGGTAAGGTCCAATTGACAATTTGTAAGATCTTCGGTCTATTTTCTTTTTTTTATACCGTCGGATGATGTCCGGCTAAGAAAATGACAATAGGCGTGGCGAAAGACGACATCAATGATGAAGGTGTAATTCATCCTGATAATGAAGTTTCATTCTTTCTGCCTGGCAGACAGGAGTTTTTATGCTTAAGAATCTCTGACCCATCTGAGAAAATTTGTCCATTATGTTTTTTCTGTTTCGCTAAGAAATGTAAAAAAAATGACCTGTTAAAGCAGAGGCCGTTTCGTAGCATTTTAAAAGTCATTTGCTCGGTCCATTCGTTCTAAATGGCCAAATCTACTGGTCCGATCTAGGATTTGACACAGACTCCTGGGAAAAACGGTAAACGGAAGCCAATCGACCGTTTTCTGTCATTGTTCTGCCAGCTCTATTCTCAAGGATCCGGGGCAATGTTAAGAAGCCAAGGCTTTCATCTCCACGAATCCCTTTCCTGCGGTTACGTGCCCCTGCAGAAGAGGCCGTGGACAATGTTTCACCACGCCGGGTCCAGTTACTCCGCCGAGTGAAAGTTACCGTCCGGGTTCAACTTCCTTCGAATCGGTCCTAGACCTGATCCTAGCCCCCCCAAAAAAAATTTCAACGCGATTCGACAAAAGGTCGCCGCGCGGACCGCGTTCAGTTTGTTGAACCACACGCTCTGTGTAACAATCCGTTAGGTCAGTTATCTTCCGGTGGTCACAAAGTGTAAAATAAGAATGCTAAAAGATCAGGGAAATTAAGCAGGGCCGTTTACAATGATTCGTTCCAATTAACACTCCTTGCCACCGACCGACCTTATTTCGATGAAGCAACCGTTCTTTTGTTAATATTTCTTCTAAACAACCTTTAATATTGTTTTTAGTCTGAATAGTCTTGAAAACTAATCATCTTCGGCAAAATGAAAACCTAAAGTTTGGTCGTTTCCAATGTTTTTGGGCTGACTATGCTCGCGGTTTTGGTCTGTACCAAGGATTGACAGGCCAAAATACAGGCTCATCATCCGCAGACTCAAAGAGAAAATCGCACAAATTAATAACTTAAAGTTTAGTCGTTTCTGATGTGTTTGGTCTGATATCCTTGCTGCTTTGGTATGTAGACAAACTTGGGCAGACCAAAACACGTTGTCATTCGCAGACCCAAAGAGAAAATCGCACAAATCAATAACTTAAAGTTTAGTCGTTTCCGATATTCTTAGTCTGACTATCCTTGCTGGTTTGGTATGTAGCAAAGAGTGACAGAACAAAATACTGATATATCAACTGGTAGGCTCAAATAAAATTTTACAAATTGAAAATCTGCTTTTTGTCCGGATTTTTTGGCCTGACCAGTCTCATTTTTTGATGAAATCTTCATCATAAGCTCATAATCATAAAAACCTCTAGGCTACGGTCCATCAGATGTATAGCTCTATTGTTAATATTATTATATTGCATTGGATTTTTGGATGATCTGAACGATCTTGAAGGCGGATTCTGATCAGCGAATGAAAAAGAATTCCGATATTTTTAAAAGCTTCTGTTGGAATCTTGATCATAAACTCATAATCATAAAAACCTCTAGGCTACGGTCCATCAGACGTATAGCTCTATTTTTGTCTTTTTTTACGAGGTTCGCAACAACAGATATATCAACCCTCAGGGTGCCGGTGTTTAAAAAAAAAAAAAAAGCCCATTTGTAAGTATGTCGGATTCGAATGCAGGGCCGCTGGATTCGAACCCGGGACCTTTACCTTACAGTGATGAGCGCCGAGTCAACGCCTAAACCGTTGCGGCCACTCTATAGTTAATATTATTACATTGCATTGAATTTTTGGATGATCTGAACGGTCTTGAAGGCGGATGCTCTTCAGGAAATTGAAAACATTCCATTATTTTTAAAAGCTTCTGTTGGAATTTTGATCATAAACTCATAAACATAGCAACTCTTGGGCTTTGGTCCTTTTTACGTATGGTTCTATTATTAATATTAGCAACCATGAATGGTATTTTTGTGATTTTAAGTCTTGAGGGCTGATTCCGTTCAGCAAATTGAAAACCGTTGAACCTAAAAGTTTCCGTTGAAATCGTGATCGTAAACTCATAATCATAAAACCCCTAGGCTATGGTCCATTGTGTGTTAATATTATCATTAATAATAAATAAATTAATAAACTTACAAGAATTTCATAAAGTTTTATATTGTATTTTGATAAAAAAAATATTCATAATCATAAAAATTTCGACTTATTATGCATATTTAACTGTATTTTTGCTTTTTATGATATTGTATGAACTGAATAAGTGAACATTATAAATAATTTGACAGATTGGATAATTAAGGAGCTTTTGCACTTCTTAAATAGCCAAGTAGTAGATGAATTAAGTCGATAAGTATGGTGTGATAATATAAATCAAATGTTTGCATAAATTCCTTTTACCTCGGCTTTCATGATCCCCCTGACCGTGATGCCAACCGTGGGTGCGAAGTTTATAGTGGTACCAGGGAGGAGGGCCAATTCGGACGTGTGGTCTACGATGAGATCTTCTTTAAGGATGTACTCCCCACGGTCGATCTTCAGCTTTCTGTTTGTCATCAGGCCGCCCTGAAGTTCGATGAAGCCGCTTCTGGTCGGCTCCGAGCTGGAGTACCAGTTGTACATGCTCGGGTCCGGAGTGGTCTGCTCTGCGGAGTCGAAGGCTATGAGGCAGAAGAGGAAAATCCCAAAATTCCTCCAGCCTCCCATTTCGATTTTTTTCTGTCTAATCTTTCACTGGGATGAATTCAATTTTTGCACTTTGCGCCTGGAGCGCGAAATATGGTGAAAATCTGGCCTACGCCCATTCACCTCAGGAGTACTGGCTTCTTGTGGCAAAATCCCGATTCGGACCCGTTGCCCTTTGACACTGGAGGCCCGTCTCGGCCTCTTCGCACGTTAAGCACCGTCGGTCCGGAACTTCTGCAAAACTGACCGCGTCCGAACCCAAAATGAACTTAATAAACTTATTAACTGAAAAGCTCCGACGAACTGAACCGTTGTTTCGAAACAACTGAAAGCCAGATCCCCTCCATCGTGGCACACCTCCCACCTCGCGAACGTCATGATGTTGAACCAAGCCACCTTTTTGTACCGTTCTCCATCTTTGATTCCGCCTAGTTCTATGTACCTGAGCCTCGATCGGAACAGGTGCACCTCCCGAACACGCACCCCTTTTTGTGATGAGGCTTGTTATCGTTTTTTCATCCCCGACCTTTACGAAAAATTCCTTGCCTCTGGGACGTTTTGTTTCCTTTTTACTTCGCGACCGTCTCCTTGACGACCGGAGACGCCTTCCTTGCGACCTTGCCTTCAAGTCCCTTGCGTGCTCATTTCGAATTTTCAAACTTCCATTTGTCGAATACCGTTAACGATTGTTCATGACACTTTCCATTTCCGTTGGCGTAAACTCTTCATATCGAAGGGAAAAACAAAATAAAAACATCGTTATCTCAAAAAATTAGGGATAATGCCAATTTGAAAGACAACATGCAGTTTCTTCGTTCAGCCTCAGGACTTTGACAAAAATTTAACATACAATTCTCAATTTAAAAAAAAAAATTCAATATTCAATATTTAATTTTCAAGATATTTTTATAAACAATGGACGGGATATCTCTGTAAATTTAACTTATATTGAAACCATACGTTTCATGTTTTAACTTGTATTATATTTTGTGTACATAAAAGAACGACGTTTTTAAGCACCTTAGAAACACGAAAAATGTCACATCTTGATATTAAGCACTTTACAAAAAAGAATGACTCGTTATTTTTAAGCGCTTTATAAAAAATAAAATGTCACATCTTTGGTTTTAAGCACATTGTACACAAGAAAAAATTTCAAATTTTTTTAAAAACAACATTTTCACAACTTGTTTTTAAGCACCTTACAACCAACAAAAATTACACATCTTGCTTTTAAGCACCATACAAACAAAAAATGTCACCTAGTTTTTACCAGCATACAAACAACAAAAATGTCACATCTTGATTTTAAGCACCATACAAACAACAAAAATGTCACATCTTGATTTCAAGCACCTTCCAACAACAAAAATGTCACATCCTAGATTTTAAGCACCTGCCAGATAACTAAAATGTCACATCTAGATTTTAAGCACCATACAAACAACAAAAATGCCACATCTAGATTTTAAGCACCTTCCAACAACAAAAAAATGTCACATCTAGATTTTAAGCATCATACAAACAACAAAAATGTCGCATCCTAGATTTTAAGCACCTGCCAGATAACTAAAATGTCACATCTAGATTTTAAGCACCATACAAACAACAAAAATGTCACATTTAGATTTTAAGCGCCATACAAACAACAAAAATGTCATATCTAGATTTTAAGAACCATACACAAAAAATTCACATCTTGATTTTAAGCACCTGTCAAACAATTAAAATGTCTCATCTTATTTTTAAGCATCTTACAAATAACAAAAATGTCACATCTAGATTTTAAGCACTATGCAAATAACAAAAATGTCACATCTAGATTTTAAGCACCACACACAAAAAATTCACATCTTGATATTAATGTCTCATCTCATTTTTAAGCACCTTACAAATAACCAAAATGTCACATCCCAATGTTAAATACCTTACAAACAGCAAAAATATTACATTTTGATATTATTTAACAAGCCCTTTAAAAACAACAAAAATGTCACATCTTGATTTCAAGAACCTTACAAACCACAAAAAGTCTCATTTTGATTTTAAGCACCTTAAAAATAACGAAAATGTCTCATCTCAATTTAAGTACCTTACACACAACTAAAATATCACATCTTGATATTAAGCACCTTACAAAGAAGACTGTCTCTTTTTATTTTTAAGCACCTTACTTCACTGTCAAACAACACAACCTTACAAAAAATGATGTCACAACTTGTTTTTAAGCGCATTGAAAACAACATAAATTTCACAACTTGTTTTTAAGCACCTTACAAACAACAAAAATATCACATCTTGATTTTAAGCACCTTAGAAACATGACAAATGTCACATCTTGATATTAAGCACCCTACAAAGAAGAATGTCTTATTTTATTTTTAAGCACCTTACTTTACTTTCAAACAACAAAAATGCATGACTTGTTTTTAAGCACCTTACAAAAAACAAAATGTTATATCTTGTAGTAACCACCTTACAGAAGAATGTCACGTATTGTTTTAAGCACCTTACAAACAACAAAAATGCCACATCCTATAAGTACCTATAAGTTACCTAGTAAGCAATAAAAATATGTCTCACCTTATTGTTAAGTACTTGTCCAACAAAACGGACCGAATCTTGTTTTTAAGCACCTTATTGAAAGAATTTCGCATCTTATTTTTGAGCATTTAACTTATTAGTGTTACCGTAAACATCCACTCATTTATTACCATCTACAATGCAAATCATTTGTGATGACAGTACAACATATCCTCTCAACGTAATACTTTAACTTACGGACATTGACAATATAATAAAATGATGAATCAACGTAAATTGTTAGTCAATCATGACCGTGACAGTTGGTCCAGCCCTAAAAACAAATTTTAAATAAATATACAACAAAATAAACATAATAATTGTACTACCTGTTTTTCTGGCCATTGGTGAAAATCATAAACTTGTCTATAGTTATGTCATGTCAAATAGTAATGTAATTCCAATGTATAGACATTAATTTTTAATAAGGATTTTATTATAAATTTATTTTTAATAATTTTTACACTGAATCCTCAGGGCAAAAAGTACTTCAATTCTGATGTAATTAACACCACAACAATATATATAAAAAAATAATAATACTGATTAAGTTGGTATGAACTAAATGTCAAAAAGGATTGTAAAGGAAAGGGTATAATTGTTACAGGATTAAAAATCTGAATTTTGGAGCAATCATTTATATATTAGATTTGACACAAAAATATCTTTAAATACTATGTACCAATAAAATTTATAAATATATAACAGTCATTGTACAAATAAGGTTCTTATTCTTAATCCTATTACGTGTGGAATGTGATTTTTCAGATGTTGTTTTAAACTATATTTATAATCAAAACACTCTTAAAATTTATTATCACATTTTTACAATCAATTTTCATTAAATATAAATCTTATATAAAAACAATGGTGTTTAAAAGATCACATTTAATTATGTTTTTATTATTCACATTTTTAAGTTTACAATACAGAGATTTTAAAAAATATATTTTTGGTTAAAAATATTACAATAAATCTTATAAAACAAAAAATATATTGCTAGGATAAAGCTGTTTTATCGATGTGTCTATAATTTTATAATATTATTTATTGTTTTATAATATTAGAAAATTATAAACTAGGTTTTTATTTATTTACAGGTTGTGTGCGAGCTGGTAGAAATGAGAATTACGATTCTCCATTAAGTTGCTCGGCGTATCAAATTCTACCACTTTCCCATCTTTCATGACAAGAACCCTATAGGGGGGAAAAGATCATTAATTAATCCAAATTTAAAAAAAAAACAAAAAAACAGTCATATTATTTACCTGTCACAATCAATAATTGTTTTAACTCTATGCGCTATAGTTATCACAGTACTCTGAAGGAAACTATTTCTTATAGTCTGTTGAATTAGTCTGTCGGTGTCTTCGTCAACATTTGCTGTCGCTTCATCGATACAAATAATCTGAGGAAAAAAAATTCAAGACAGTTGTTTGGTTTTAAATATTATTAAATTTGTCGCTTACTTTTGTGTTTTTAAGGATGGCCCTAGCGAGGCATATGAGTTGACCTTGTCCGACGGAGAAAGTATCTTTATTGATGTTTACATACAAGCCCCCATTTTCTTCCACCGCTGTCATCATATAAGTTTTTTCCAAGACTTCGCGCAATTCGTCATCAGTGTGAATATTATGCGGGTCTAGGTTAGACCTCATCGAGCCCTCGAATATGAATGGATCTTGAGGTATTATACACATACGTGACCTAAGAGATTTTAAGATTACTCGATTAATTATTCGTTTAAAAAAAATTAAGTGAAAACTTTACCTCAATTGATCCAAAGAAATCAATTTGATGTTGACAAAGTCAACGGAAATTTCCCCTTTAGTCAAATCGCTCAATCTAAAAAGAGCTGATATCAATGAACTCTTCCCTGCTCCAGTCCTTCCAACAACACCTATTTTCTCACCAGGTCTTGTCACAAAAGTCACTTCATTTAAGGAATAAGGGAGAGATTCACTAAAAAAAAAGTCATACTAATATGTCATGAAAAAAAAACAACCTATGTATATGTATATAATTTATTTACTTATCCATACACTACAACAAATTATTTAAAAAAAAAATTAAGTTCTTACCTGTATCGGTAAAATACGTTATGAAAAGAAATGACGCCTTGTGTTGGCCAACCGAAAGGAATAACAACTGACGAGGGCGATTTGTCTTCTCCCTCCAGGCCTATATAAGCATTATTCAAATACTGGCTAACTCTCTCGACAGAAACCATCTCCCTTTCGGTTTCTGTGACTGCGTTTACAAGTCCTCCGATCGAACTCGTTAGTGTTAGGGCGTAAGAAATCGCCAATCCGATTAATCCTAAAATTGAGATAAATAGTAAAACGAAATTTACTTTTTATTTGTCGTAATCACCTGGTTCGGCAAAATCGAGGTGGTGTCGGAGTGTAGCTAATATAGCGACTCCTGTGATCATGACAACTCCGATGAGTTGTAACCGTAAACCGAGCCATTGCGAAGCGGCGCTAGCGCTTAATTGAGCCTTTATATTAGATTCAAGCCAAGACTGATTGTCCCTCATAAACCTTTGTTAAAAATTAAATTAAAAATTGAATTATTTATAGACAATTTAATTTACCTCGAAGTCACTCTAAATGCTCGTATTACAGCTGCCCCTTGAAGTGTCTCATTAAAGTGGCTGTAAAGAGGTGACATTGTCGTACTTGTAAGTCGTTTTAGCTCCCTCGAAGTCAATCTGTAGTTGGACTGTAAGTTGTGATAAATTGGAACGAGAGGGGCCAAAATCAAAAATAGCCATGGAAGCCCATAAAGAGTCATTGCAAGCGTTCCTAGAAACGTCCATTTTAAATAAAATATAATTAAAACAGACATTTTTTCTAAGTAAGATAAATTTTTTACCTAGCACTGTAAAAATTGATGCTAAAAGTATATTAGAAATAAAAGGAAGAGAATCATCGATAGTATAGACATCAGATGAAAACCGGTTTAAAATTTTTCCAGATGAATTTGTTTCAAAGAACAACATTTTAGCCTAAAAGTGTTTAAAATATTAAAATAAATCAGCAATTTAGATTAATGAAAATACTGGTAAAATAATTACATCAATAACTTTCTTTAAAAGTTTTTTATGAATTTTACGCGCTGCATTTAGACCACCGAACGCAAACAGGAATGCTCTGAATAATGTAAAAAGAGAATTCATTCCGGCGATTCCAGCGTAAATTATTAAATATTTAGATGTACTATTGGAAGACAATTCTTCTGAAAATCGAGAGAAAAAAAATTATAAATATATAACAGAAGGATTTATATGAAAATTCCCTTTTAAAAAGATAAATGACCTTGGAATTGTGTATAGTTTAAATTTGACACCCAGTACGACAGCCAGTAATCAACTCCATTTCGGCTAATTTGCATCAGAACGATCGAAGTTAAAATCAACGGCCACAGACATACTCCAGCAGACATTATATACATTCCAAACACTCTACAATCCATAGAGCCTAAAAAAAATTGTATTTTTTCTTTACGAAAGATAATTAAATTACACCTAGCATTTGTTGATCTCAAGAGAAAGGAAATTTTTCTCATAAATTTCTCGGATTGATTTGATTTGGTTAGTTTAGTAATTTGACTTTGACAAAAATTGAACATACAATAATTGCCAATTTAAAAAAAATTTTAATTCCATATTCAATATTTAATTTTCAACATATTTTTATAAACAATGGATGGGATATCTCTGTAAAGATAACTTATATTTGAAACCATACGTTTCAATGTTTTAACTTTATGTTCTTGTGATTATATTTTGTATACATAAAAGAACGACGTTTTTAAGCAACTTAGAAACAAGAAAAATGTCACATCTTGATATTAAGCAACAAAAAAGAATGACTCGTTATTTTTAAGCACCTTATAAAAAAACAAAATGTCACATCTTGTTTTTAAGCACATTGTACACAAGAAAAAATGTCACTTTTTTTAAAAACAACAAAAATGTCACATCTTGTTTTTAAGCACGTTGTACACAAGAAAAAATGTCACATTTTTTTTAAAACAACAAAAATGTCACATCTAATTTTCAACACCAAACAAACAACAAAAATGTCACATCTAGATTTTAAGCACCATACAAACAACAAAAATGTCATCTAATTTTAAGCACCATACAAACAACAAAAATGTCACATCTAGATTTTAAGCACCATACAAACAACAAAAATGTCACATCTAGATTTTAAGCACCATACAAACAACAAAAATGTCATCTAATTTTAAGCACCATACAAACAACAAAAATGTCATCTAATTTTAAGCACCATACAAACAACAAAAATGTCATCTAATTTTAAGCACCATACAAACAACAAAAATGCCATCAAATTTTAAGCACCATACAAACAACAAAAATGTCATCTAATTTTAAGCACCATACAAACAACAAAAATGTCATCTAGATTTTAAAAGCACGATACAAACAAAAATGTCACATCTAGATTTTAAAAGCACGATACAAACAAAAATGTCACATCTAGATTTTAAGCATGTCAAACAATTAAAATGTCTCATCTTATTTTTAAGCATCTTACAAATAACGAAAATGTCACATCTCAATGTTAAACACCTTACAAACAACTAAAATGTCACATCTTGATATTAATGTCTCATCTCATTTTTAAGCACCTTACAAATAACCAAAATATCACATCCCAATGTTAAACACCTAACACAAATTTTGATTTGGTTAGTTTAGTAATGTGGTTGTTATTGATCATTTTGATTGACCTCTCCTCACTAGAGTAGTCAAACTTTTGCCTTCTTCAGTGTGACTAAACATAGAATTACACAGACACAGGTAAGATGATTGTTATCCCTCAGACTTTTGACAATCCACCCAGCCTGGATATTTTCTTGTGGCTTTTTCCTCTGTGTTAAGAAAAGAAAAAGTTCTCTTTCAAAAAATAATAAAACGAACAAACCAAATCGTGTAAAATAACAGTTTGAACATCTTTTTTACCTCATTCCTCCTCACACATATACAAACTCTGCTCAACAGCAGCGACAAAAAGAAAAAAATTCCTTTTTCCACTCTAACTTGTCCATGCTGACCTGTTCAAGCTCATCTGTCCTCGCTGGCCACTTATGACACCACGAGATGGGCCCCACACGTAATCGGCCTCACTCAACTTTGCCGAGGGCACCCCTATCTGGCTGAATCCGGTCATCCCAGTGCAAAAAAAATTTTTTTCAACTTGAAACAATTGTCTAACATATTCAGCTCAATTCACCACTATACATTTCACCTTATTTAGATGTGTTTTCCATTAAAAATCCGTTTAGTAGTACTTTTTGGTTTGCATTCAGGGCCGTTGAGATTCGAACCCAAAATGTCAATGCTTTAAACAGACCTCTTTTTAATTACTATTCCGTTTCTCTTGAGTTCTTGTTTGTTATTTATTTTCTACTAACCTCACGTCACTTACCATGAGCTCTTTCTTCAATTTCAACTTCAACTTCAGGTTCGGGTGATTTTTTATCAGAATGATTTTCCTCTGACTCGACTTTTGCACTCTCGTCAATTTCTAGCTCCGAATCAGTCACATACTCTATATAATTGGGTAGAACCTCTGAAGGCCTTCCTATTAAATATAAATAAAACAATTTAAAAATTCATTGAATTTCAGATAGTGGTTTTGCCACCTTGACAGACAATTTTCCCGTCTTGTAGAACGATGATATGATCCGCGTTTATGAGGAAGCGCGACTGGTGAGTGAATAGAAGGCGCGTCTTGTTCTGAAGAATTCCGCAGATACACTGTGTGAAAATGTGTTTTGCTACTTGCGGGTCTACTGCGGATAAAATATCATCTAAAAGGTATATCTGTTTGTCCTAGGAAACGAATAATTACTTAGAAAAGAAATTACTTTAAAAAATGTAAACGTTATGAACATACTTGATAAACGGCTCTTGCAAGGGCGATTCTTGCCTTTTGCCCACCGCTTAACGTACACCCTCCTTCACCGATTTTAGCAGAATCTTTACCAGGTAGCAGATTGATATCCTCTGTCAGTCCACATGCATTCAACACACTCCTAATAAAATATACAAAGGATTTTTATTAAGAATTACAGTAAAATTAAAATTACTGTTCAATCACCAATATCTATGTCTCAAAAAGTGCTCGCCAAAAAGAATATTTTCTAAAATTGTTCCCTTTTGAAGCCAAGGAGTTTGTGGTACATAACCAAATCCTAAATTACATTTTTATTAGTGAATATTATAATTAAAATAAACGCTGAAATTTACCTTCTTCGTAGTTTAGTACTGAAACCGACCCAGAGGATTTTTCTATTTCTGAAAGAATGGCGGCAATCATCGACGATTTCCCGCTCCCTACGGGTCCAATTATACCGATGAGTTGGCCTTTATCTATTTTTACGTTGATCCCCTTTAACGAAAACCTTGTTTCATTCCAGCAGAAATTACCATTTATTATTTCCAGCGCTTCACCTTCAGATTTGTCGTAATACGCTTTCAACACACGATCTGGAAGCTTCATAAAGCATTAAATATTTTCTTATCGGGTTTTGAACTAATAATAGGAGTTCTTGCATAAATTAGAATTGAAATCAAATTATAAATTAAACAGTTTTGCCTCACTATCGGCGATAAAAGCAATACTTTCTGTCTAATTATAATTATTAAATCACTTTTAAAGTAGTCAAATTTAAAAAAAATCAAAATTTCATAATGTGCCACTTTTTTGTGGAGCAGTGTACTAATCTTTACCCCTAGTAATTATGGAAAATAAACACAAGTGTCTTTTTTTACTTTGAGTGTATTACACTAAAAAGGCAACAAATTAAATCCTCCCATTATGAAAAAAAAGGTCAAAAATCGTGACAAATCTACGCAAGAAACTCTTTAGAAAATGAATAACTTAAAAATATAAAATCTACCTTAATTAATCTTTCGACGCGTTTTAATGATACCCAAGCTTCAGTCAAACCGTTCAAAACCCAGGGGAAGGCGTTGAGCGGCGTTATTAACATGTTTATTAAAGCAATTGTTGTAAATACCTGATCAAAATTAAATATTTTGCAATAATTGTACAATTAAATTCAATTTTTTTTTTTTAAATACTCACTACTGATGCTGTCAGTTGATTTCCTGTAAGAGTGTAGGTAACAAATGTCAATAGTGATATTAAAACAGGAGTTGTCGCCCAAAAATAAACACAAAGAGCATCTAAATATTTTCTCCAAGATAGAAATTTCATCTCCTGTTTTCTAACACCTAAAAGAAAAATTTTAAATGAGCGATTATGTTTTAATTTGCCCTATTGACCAAAGAATCACTTTAAATATTATTCAGTTTGATTGAGTTGAAAAATAGTGACACGAGACGCAAACTCACAACCTCCTGGGTACTGATCTGGTGGTCGTGGGTTCGAGTCTCTCTTATGACACTAATTTTTCAACTCAAACATTATAATAATAATAATTTTAAAATAAAGATGAACATTCCTTCTTTCTTCTTAAAAATCATTATTTAATACAATATTTGGTTATATATTATTATTACTATTCTTTTATCATCTAGGAAACAGACCTTCAACTTTTTGAACGAATTCATTTTCCCAGACGTGTAATTTAATTGTCTTAATGCCTCTGAAAATTTCCATCATTATCTGCAAACGGGCATCCTTGTACGACATGGTTTTTTCGCTTAATTTACCTGAAACAGCGCAAGTTTTACACTGGGGGGGAAAAAACTGTCAAATATTCCTCAATAAGTTTCACCGAACCTATTTGTTTGGCCAAAAATCTATTTATCGGTATTAAGACGATCGAGAACGCAATACCAGCCAAGAAAGACAACCCCACTTGAAGATAGAGCAAGTACAATGTGACGAAGAGCTGGAAATTTTAAATTGAACGTGTAAAATTTGTACGATTTCGTTCCAAACGCTAATTATTACCTGCAAAGGGATGCTCCAGAATGCGTGGAAGCTTGCGCATGAGTTTACTATCCGGTCCATGTCCGTACTCATATAATTTGCAACTTCGCCTTTACTAAAATTAAATTATGATTCTTTTTAGCTAAAATAGATAGATTATATAGTTTTAAATAATTGAGGCAAAATAATTATTTGTTTGGAACAAAAGATTATATATATAAATTCTAATCTAGTGTCGGATCTAATCTTAATAGAGGCGTGTCATGCCTTGGCTCCATACAGAGAGCGTGTAGGCATGCCGCCGGACTTAAGAAGAGTTCTCGAACTAGGTAGCGAGTTTTAGAGTCCCCTATTCTGCTTTTTAAGGGAAATTGGGTTTTTTTATTGTATGTTAATATGTTTTACATGTTGTGTCTATATGTTTGGTCTGAGTGCATGTATTTATTAGCGTGAATGGCGAGGGGTGAGGGTGAAATATAACGTCATCATCGCCCCTCGAACGTTGAGAGCGTAAGAGTGTGTGTTCAGGACGATGGCGGAATATTTATAAAAGTACTAAAAAAAAAAACTATAAAAAAAAATAGTTGTATGTTATTTGTCTTTCAGGAGATTCCCAGACAAACAAGCTTGAATATTACATAAACAACAACATATATGAAAAATTTATATTATTTTAAAAACAGTTTAAATTTGTTTTACTATTCAATATGAAGATTGGAAAAAAGACAATAATAAAATTAGTTAATAATATAATATTTAGATATAATAAAGGGGAGAAGGAAACAAAGTGACAATGCTAAATAAACAAGATAAAATATTAATCAGCATAATTATTCATAAATTTAAGTTATATCAATGTCATATTTAATTTATATTTACATTATTAATTCTGTATTCTATTTTTATTTATGTATTAAAAATTATCTTAATTTTAAACAGTTCATAAAGTTTTTAATATTTTTCATATTTTCTGTTGTAAAAACACGCTGGTACTCATCAATAATAGTAGTGGTTTTTTTAATAGTTTTTATTTTTATTTTTAGTTTTATGGCCGACAAACTAGCCCGGTTATCGCCAGCCATCTCTTCCTTAGCTTTACATTTCTTTTTTTACCTTTCTTGCATATTACTAATACTAATTTATTTTTATATTTCTCCAGGTGAGTTTAGATATTTTATAGTACTACGGTAGCCAACTCTCTCTTTTCTTTGTACTATTTCTAGCCTCTTTATGATCAGGGCTCGTCAATCGTGGATAAAATAGACAAATAACAAACACAAATACACAAAAACAAGATAAAAAACGTAATAGACTGGTTAGCATTCACACTAGCCCAGAGTAGTCGATATTCCTTGGGGTAATTGAGGTTAAACCCTACCATTCACGCTATTAAATTACATTTGCGCATACATTCTCTCTTCCACAGAGTACTCGATATTCCTCGAAGTTATTGGGGATAAGCTACCTTTCACGCTAATAAATTACATCCACACATTCATTCACACTATGATTAAAACAGAGTGGTCGGCCGGATCGCCAGTGAAGCTCCCGCGTGTCAAAGGTGCTGATGGTAGGTGGCCCTTGGAGGATTTGACAAGTTGAAGAGATAGATCATATTCAACCGGTTAAGAATAGGCCATGTGAGGTTGACACAAGGACTTATAGAACACAAGGAACTTTTGAACCAAATTTAATGCCGCTGGACTTAAGAAGAGATCTCGAGCATGGTAGCGAGTTTCAGAGTCCCCTGTTCCGCTTTTTATGGGAAATTGGTTTTTTTTTATTGTATATAATATGTCTTATGTGTTGTATCTATATGTTTTGTCTGAGTGCATGTATTTATTAGCGTGAATGTCAAGGGGTGAGGGTGAAATATAACGTCATCATCGCCCCTCGAATGTTGAGAGCATATGAGTGTGTGTTCAGGGTCGATGACGGAATATTTATAAAAGTACTCCACCGACCAAACGGAATGAGTGTACTGTACGGATGAATTTATGTGTATGAATGTAGTGTTTGAAAGGGAAGAATATAGACATAGTTGGGGGCTGAAATGACCTAGATGTCGGAAGCCCGTCAAAAAAAAAAAAAAAAGCCTTGAATGCATCGTCAGCGACACAGCCAAGCAATGGCATGCATCTTAGAATCTGGAGAGGCATCCGTCAATCCAGCCTGACTCACACCCAAAACCTGTACGGTCCACGATTGAGCCCAGACACACCTCTGACATGGGGTTCCAGCAGAAGAAACAAGAACTGAGAGGGTGTAATATGTGTGTTTATATAAATTTTACGTGTGCTAAGAATTTGATAATTTTGTTTATTAATTATTGTTTAGTAAGGAGTAGAGATCATTAAGTGTTGTTATAAAGGACAATTAATTTTTATTTGATAGATTAATACTGTATATCCGGGGTGGGGGAGCCAAATGGCAAAATAAAGATATACATCATTAAAGATATCTTCCAACTTAAATTGACATGACACTATTTAAAAAAGTAACTAATAATAATAATTACATGGCACTTAACTTAAAATCAATAATTACATCACGCAACAATAAAACATCATTCATTTACAATAAAAGCTCTCAATTTAAGTGCTTCATAAACAAAATTGAACACTTTTCTTTCTTCAGATTTTAGCAAGAACTCAAGTTTTTCTAAATTGTTACTACTTACACTTGTATCTACGTACTTCTTTAAATAAAAGGATCTTTGCGGTTGGTAAATTGGACAATTTAAAACTATATGCTCCATGTTCTCCTCTTCTAACAATTTACACAAAGAGGACTAGGAGTATTTCTGGGCAAATGGTTAATTTTTATTTTATTTATTAATTAAAACTGGTCTTAAGACTTCTAACAATATATCGATTGTGTAGGAGTTTGGTCACTTCAATTTTCTCGTGTTGGCCGATTTTTGGCAGCGATTTTACGATCCGTTTGTAAGCCCTTATTCCTTATGTGACAAGATGCATCGACCACTTTTTTGTATGTAAAATTTGTATGTTCTGATTTTTGCTGATTGAGCTTGATTATCAATTTTTTGTCCATTCATTCAGGCCTTCTCTCAGGCCAATTTTACGCTAGGCTAGAATGGTTTTTTAGTTTTGGAAAATTCTGGGATTCCCATCGTAAATATTTTTTATTCCAAGGAACTTGCTTCCAGGCTTGACAGCAGAGGTCACTGAAGAGGACCCTATCCCAGGTAGTATTAATTAAAATAGTCAATTTGTCTGTCTTGTTGTTTTTGATACCAGAATGACCAGGAATAGACTTGAATAATTTTTTACAATTGATATTCCTTTTATTTTGGAATAATTATCCCAGGTGCACAGGTTTAAGATGTTATTTAATATTTTATTTAGTGAGTGTTGTAAGAGTCAAAACTTCAGAGTTCAGTGGTGAAACTAAATCAAAGGTGATACAGGCGGAAATTTACTCTACCGTCTACTCATCTGGATACAACAGGAAAAAATTCTGCTCCCGAATATGCAGATCTGAACTTGAGCAATAAGAGGAGGATGAGAGTTAAAAGATAAAGAATGAATCGGCTTATATAAATAAATTTTTAACAGGTTTTTATTTTTAATCAATGACGTAATCACCCTCATTATCAACGTTTTGCCATCTACAAATTTTCAATGCAGGATCGATAAAAATCAATTAGTTTTTGAGCAAAAATCTGGAAATGGCATTTTGGACATTATCCAAATTTTCATATTTTTTGCCACTTAGAAAATGATGTAGCAATTGGAATAAATGGAAATCCAATAGTGCAATATCAGGTAAATGTAGAGGATGAGGCAACATCTCCTACCCAATTCATTAATTTTTCCAGGTTCGTCTTCCATTATCGTGCTGCAGAAAAAAAACCCTTTTCCGTTGACAATTTCTAGGCACTTTTCAATTGATTGATTTTCTCGATCTAACTGTTCTCAGTAAAGGTCTGCCGTCAAGAAGGTCAGTTTCTCCAGGTTTCAGCACGTCAAAATGAAAAACCCCACGAATACTCCGCCAAATAAACAAAAATTGCCTTTTTTTGGATGTAAATCGGGCTCGTAAAGAGCCACTGCCTTTTGCATTTTGGATTACCATAGAGGGCCCATTTTTCATATCCAGTGATCAATCAATCAAAAAACGCTTCTGTATTGTGCTGCTGAAGCAAACACCGGTTAATTAATAATTAATTTATCAATCTACTGCAAATGTTTTTGGATGGTCGGCCAAGGTTGATTGTGTCTGACAGTTCCTCAATTGTCTGACACGGATCTGCTTCCACTTCCATCTTTAACATGTCATTGTCTAAAGTTGTTGAACTTCCTGATCAATACGAGTTGAAAAGATCAAAATTTCTGGATTTGAATAGAAAAAACTAACGTCGTAAATGTTTTTGTTAGCAACTGTTGCGTTACTACCCTTGTGAAATTCAAAAAGCATACAATGCTGGTTATGTACCTCTTTTGGTATTTGGCCATTTCACCATAAATTGAAAAAAAAAAGAAAAAAGATTTAATTAACGAGTAAACAAGTCATTCTAACTTTAAAATGACTTTGGAATGACTTTGAAGTACACAATGAGCTGATAAACGACAAATGAATATTGACACAGGCAGAAACGGCATTACTTTCCGGTCCCCCAATAATTTTGGGGCTTAAGGGGCTTAGAGATATGCACGTTAGATAAATGAGGAAGAATGTTGTATATGCAAAAAAGAAAAGGAAAGAATTTTAGCAATAGAAAAAAATCTTCAAGATGATGGCTATGTATGAACGAGAGTTCACCTGTGTTGATGTGAATACTGTTCACAGTACAAAAGATTCTGATATCCCTCAGGATCTTCAGGCCATTATTTTCTATTTATACCAAGCCAAAATGAAGTTTTTTTTTTAAATATTACATAGATATATGCATATCACATTCCAACATTTTAACTGTAAACTTACCTAAACTGAGACATAGTGACTGTATTGACTGTCAGTGTCTTCTTGTAAATTGTACTGACTAAAGCTGCTTTGATTTTTAAGCCGACCTTTGACATAAGAAAATTGAAATGAGAATTGCAGAAAGCACCTGAACAGAAATTGCAAAATAAGTCATACATTTCAGATTTAAAAAAAATAAATAAATAAAAATTACTGATTAGAGCTGTGATGCTAAGTCCGATGGCGTACATATAGCCATATCCAACTGGTTCAGTTTTGTCTTCGATAAATTTAACAAGAAGATTGAGAAAAATGGGCCCGCAGAACCCCGAGACGTCAGCGATAAACTTCAGAACACCTATACCATAGAACTCCTTCCAAAAACATTTATGGAGTGCACGTAAAAGCGTACTCCTGTACCTGGGGTGGTGGTAGAGAGCCACGGACATATTCATGTTGAGCTGCGCGACCGTCATACTGTTGGGAAGGTCATACAGATCCTCGGTGGAGTCCAGCAGGCCCTGGACGCCTTTTTCTATCAGAGGGTTCACCCAGGAGAATGTGAGCCGTGCCAAACTGTTCCAGCCTTCCATAGCCACTCCCAAATAATTCACATCGAGGTCTTCCCTGAATCTCGTATAAGCACCTATGGGAGGAGATTGCTCTCCTGACTTTAAAATTTAAACATTAGCTTAAAAACAAATCCATACTTATAATATTTAATTAAATCTAAGTGGGAAAATTTTCAATTAAATGATACTTATTTTCATTGACCCTCAAGTAAGAAATCACACAGGAAGACTATTTTTAGGATAATTATTCTTTTTGCGTAAGGTCTTGGTTGAGATGAAAAAGTTAAAAAATGGCACAAAAAAAGAGGTTAAATTCGAAAGGTTGTAGGTTGAGATGAGGAGTTGGCGTCCGAGTGGATTGACATCACAATAGCTCAAGTAGTTAGAGCAGCGGCGTATTCAGCCGAAGGTCATGGGTTTGAATGCGACTACCTAGGCTATGTGGACGATCTTAGTAGTAAAAAAAACATCATGCAAACACTGTGATGGACACTGCATAATATATAATATATATACTGACGGTTCCAAAACCGATTAGGGGATGAACCCAGATTGAACTGACAGATAACCTAGGTAAATATGCTACTGTTTTCCAATCTGAAATCAAGCGCCAGAGAATAACAAGGCTAGGAATTCATTCCCGGAAGATAGCCATTTTCTCTGACAGCCAGGCAGCATTAAAGGCCCTAGATCATGCGAGATGACGGCAAAGTGTTTGGAATTGCATGGAGGCCCTGATGGAAGTCCAAACCCTGGCGGAATAATACCACAGGTATGAGGCACACGAAGAGATTCATAGAAGGACCATCACAAAACTTACAAAAGAATTACTGGAAGGCAACCGCAACCAAACCAGGATTCTGGTTGGACTCCTGACAGGGCTCTGCCATTTAGGCATTTAACCCCTCGGGTCTTGGTCGCTCACCCCGCATAATATATAATATATATATACCACCTGCAACAATAAGGGATGTTACCAGCCTGCAGAGTTTTGGCTAAGATCGTTGTTAAAAGAATTAAAGCCGCTGTGGGAAAGCTACTGAAAAACAGCTGTATAGACAATGCAAATTATAGTCGAGCAATATGTCAAGTGCAGAGCCTGTGTATTTTTTATATACATATTTGAAAAGGCTGAATTGATCAATCATGGACAAATGTGGTTTCTTTCCTTCTGGAAAGATGGCATTCTCACAAAACTCATAACGTAACAGTAATGACCTGATCCTGGCGTGGTCCCCAGGGCGCTTGGGGCCTAGAGGCAACGGAAAGGTTGACATGTTGGCCAAAGAGGGGGCCAACATGGACCTCTGGGCCCTGAAACCTACTGGGCTTAGCAACTCCATTTTAAAATGGATCCTTAATGAGTCCAAACCTGGTGGAATAATACCACAGGTATGAGGCACATGAAGAGATTCATAGAAGGACCATCACAAAACTTACAAAAGAATTACTGGAAGGCAACCGCAACCGAACCAGGATTCTGGTAGGACTCCTGACGGGGTACTACCACTTGAGGGAGCACATGCACCGGATGGGACTATAGACAGAAGATACTGCCAGGGAGAGGAGGTAAAGGTCCACATAGGTGCATGTTTTTGAAACAAGGACAGGAAAAAAAATCACAAGCAAGATCCTACGCTAAGGAGCCGCTGGCAAAGCTGTGGAGGCTGATTAACAACCTGAAGCTGGCCAGTGAGTTATAAAAAAACAGGGGAGCACCACAGGTCGAGGTGCGGTAGGACTTGTGTCTGCCTCTTTTTTCCCTATCCCCGCTCATGACACTAACTTTTTCACCTCAACCAAGACCTTACATAAAAGGAATAATTAATTGAAAGAAGTAATTTGGTCAATTAGACCATTAAAACATAAATGGATTACTATTTTTTGCATTTTAACGAGTATCATTGGTATTAAAATTCAGTACACTAAGCTAAGATTTAAGTTACATATTTTAATAAAAACTCTTGAAAAACGGAATGTTTTTTTGAAAATGATTTTTTTTAAAGATATATATGTGAGTCTGCTTACCTGATTGCAGAGTGACTGAAAGTGCTGGAGCTGAGCAGGAATCGCCCCAGATGGTATAAGCGTACAAAGATAAATGGACTGGACTACAACCTTAATTATGGAAAAGCGGAACGGCACACCTGAGGCGTACAAATCAGAGTCCGGGTCCTGAACGATCAAATAATTCGAATGAAGGCTGACCCACGAAAGCATGTAATTGACCGCCCAGATGACACCGAGGAAGACCGGTCCCCGGAGATTAGGGCCCAGTTTATTGCAGAGGACAAGAAGGAAGCAGAAATGCATGAGCCAGGCGAAGCACTCGATCGCCACCAACAGGTAGTCGACAGGCTTCAGATGACCTGGGAACATCACCTCTTCCATGTAAGCGCAAACGACCGGCAGACCGGCCAGGACCAGGGTTGTCACCGTCCTCACCCTCAACACCCATTTCTCTATTCTAGACCTCCTGAAGTAATAGAACAAAGCTCCTGTGTAATAAGCAGAAAAGACAGCGACCAGAGTCAGGACGGGTATGTGGAAAATAAGGAACTGGAAGCATAAATCAAAATCCCTGTGCTTTGTGTTCCACACAACGAATGAATCTCTATTGCAGAAATCCTGCCAGCTCCAATCGAAATCGCTCAAATTGACCATCCTTCTAATGATCTCGTAAAACTCGACTGGCTAAACATTTACACTACCTTACAAAAATTTTGGGCGAATTTTGACTAGATTAGTTCGTCGGCTTTTGAACGACAGACAACAGGACTCAGGAGTTTTCACTGAGGAGGTAACGAATCACAAATCACAATGCAATATCGATATATGATGAGTCACTGACAATTTTCTGCTGATAACATCATAATCATCAGCATTTGTTAAGTTGAAAAATGAAAAACCAATAATGAAAACAAATCGGAAATAGCACGAATACACTTGGTTCTAAATTAATTATGTTCAGATGGCCAAATGTTTATGGAAGAAAAGATATCTACTAAGATGAAGATACCGTAAAACTAAAACACTTATTAATTGAAAATTAGTCATCCAATGACATCATTTTTGTAAAAATTTGTTTGTTTTGGCTTAAAAAACATCACACTTTAATTTTTATTAACCATTTATATTTTATTTGTTTCAAAGGTACAAATAGGGCTTTAAGCTCCACTACATGTTCATATCTTTGAAATAAATTTAGTTTTATAAACAGTAAAATAATAACAATAGTAATAATAAAACATAGAACATAACATACAAAACATTAATGACAATAATAGATTCTCTAAAATATTAATTGTTTATAATTGAGCGATGAAACCATATTAAGAAAAGAAATAAGAAGGAGAAAGAAGACAAAAGGAAACGACAAAAAGAAAAAGTAGTATATACTATAATCCATAGTAAAGTTTTAGGTTTTTTAACTAAATAAAATTATTATGGTTTAAGTAATTGATGTTTTAATGAGGAAACAGAAGTATTAAATAAATCAACAGTATTGCATATGCATTGGGGAGTGGTGAAAAATTTGTTCCTTTATATTCAGAAAATATATTTTTTGATTTCTGAGGTGGCAAGTTTGCCAAACATTTCTGGGGAACCTATACAATTATTAATTAATTTGAAAATAAAAATAATCTCAAAACACGTTCTTTTGCAGCTAAGATTGGAAATTTTGAAGTAAGATTTAATGGGAGCATGAGAGAGTGTTTTATCATTGTGACAGTTTAATTTGAAATAAAAGTACGAAGGAATTTATTTTGAAAAAATTTGAATTTTTTCCTGTCGGATAGATGGGGAGAAGTAGAAGAAAAACAGAAAAGATGTGTCCAAATAAGCGAAGTATGATTTATGGAGTCAAATGCACTGGACAAATCAAGTAGGGCAAGAAAAACAATTCCAGCAAATTAGGACCAAAAGCATTGAATGCAAGTTAAAGAAAAGTGTGTGGTGTTTAGTGACCGTTAGTTAATGATTATTTGGAGATCATGAGATGCGGTCTGGGGTGACTTAGGTTTTAGAAAAACATTTTCTTTATCCTGCCAACGTTTTGATGTTTATTGAGATCATCTTCAGGGTCTGGGATTCATAAATATTATTTAAAATTTACAAATACAAGTAGGATGTGAAAAAAATGAATTTGTACATGCTAAAAATTTTACATTCAATTAAAATATTTGTACACACAAAAGTGACACATCTACAGGGAAAACAAACACTTTGAATGAGTACAAATACTTTGATTGAATTTAAAATGTCTAGCATTGTATATATTCATTTTTTTAAACATCATACATGTATTTGTAAAATTTAAATAATGTTTATAAATCCCAGGCCCTGAAGATGATCTCAATAAAGATCAAAACGCTGGCACGATAAAGAAAATGTTTTTCTGAAAACTACGTCACACCAGACCGCATCTCACGATCTCCAAATAATCATTAAAGAAAAGTGTCAAAGACAGTCAAAAAAGTCTGTGTTGTATAACATCAGCAGGAGATGTTCGTTGAAAGATTCAAGAATATAGTTTTGAAATAACAAATTAGAAGAAAAAGATTTTTTTTCATGAACTCATGTTGTTCAGAAATAATGGACTTACAAAAGGATTTAGGCAAGACTTAGTCTTACAAGATTTAGACAAGAAGATAAATCTTTATTACAGATAATTTATTGGATTAAATTAATTATTAAAAAGACTAAAAATCATTGGTTTAATTTTAATCTTTATGACAAAATTTTGACTTAATAAGAAAAAATTCAAAAGTTGAGTGAAAATGAACTAGAGCAAGGTTTGTCTTTTTGTTGGTCTCTAGAGTGACAGAATGAGAACAAAAATAAATCATACAAAAATCTCTAATGAATCTTTGAAACCAAATGCATTGGAAAAATCAAGTAGTGCAAGAAAAACAATTCCAGCAAATTAGGACCAAAACCTTAGAATGCAAGTTAAAAAATAGTGTCAAAGAATTAAGAAAATTCTGTGTTGTACAACATCAGCAGGTGATTTGTTGAAAGTTTCAAGAATATAGTTTTGAAATAACAAATTAGAAGAAAAAGATTTTTTTTCATGAACTCATGTTGTTCAGAAATAATGGATTTACAAGAGGATTTAGACAAGACTTAGTCTTACAAGATTTAGACAAGAAGATAAATCTTTATTATAGATGATTTATTGGATTAATTTAATTATTAAAAATTCTAAAAATAATTGGTTTAATTTTAATCTTTATGGCAAAATTTTGACTTAATAAGAAAAAATCGAAAGTTGAGTGAAAATGAACTAGAGCAATGTTTGTCTTTTTGTTGGTCTCTAGAGTGACCGAATGGGAACAAAAATAAATCATACAAAAATCTCTAATGAATCATTGAACATATGTTGTTTTTTAATTAGGTTTTTTCTTTGTTTAAATAGATTTCTTTCTTTTTATGATTTATAGTTTGATTAGGCCCAATTTGCTCTAATATCCTACGGCCGTCGAACTAACTAAAAATGAATTGTTTCCTGTGAAAGTTAACCTTCCGCCGAGTTTACTTTCGGAGTTTCAGCAGAGAATCCAGGCAAGGCTGAATTGCTCGCCGTCCCTTCGGTCAAATCGACGTTGAAGTTCTTCCCGGTGGATCGGAAAAAAGGGCCTCCTCTGCACTCGAGTTTCTCCCTTCAAAGGGCCGGCAGCGTTTTATATCTAAAGCCGACGAGGACAAAAGCGATATCGTTTCCCTTTACACCAGGTTTTCGCTGTCAGGATTGAGAAAATGTCAACCGCGGTGGCTGGTAATATTTTTCAACCTTGTTCTAATTCGTTTTATCCGACTAAATTGACGGATTTACAAATTTAAAATATCAGTTTTAAAAATGCGCTCATTTTCTCTCGGAAGGGATAAAATATTTTTAGGTTAATAATTATAGAAAAGCTTGTTTCGCAATGTCCCAGTTGCCCACTTCCAACTTCAAAATTAACAAAATTTTAATTTAAATTCCTGCCCTCTCAAAATTAAACACCTAGAACGCCTTATTAGACTAAAAATTTTAGCTTTTCGTCATAGACAATTTAATATTTAACCCTTTACTCTTAATTAGGCTTAATTTTAAGTTTCGGCCCCATAATACTTGGTTAGTTATTCACATGATTGTTGTGACTGACTTTTACAAGTTGACGGCAGTTTAATCTTCAAAAGGAATCTTCCAGAAGAAAACATAGATTTCTAGCATAACTTTTGCTGATCATAGGTTTTGTCAGATCGGAGATAAACTCCGATTTCTAACCCTTCATCACAACTTAGTTTGACAGAAAAATTAATTTAAATAAATGTTTAAAGTAATAACAATAAATAATTATTACTTCAATGAGTTATGTAACTTCACAGCTGTTTGATAGTTTCTGACAATTGTACAGAAGAAAACTCATAAGTTTCTAGCATAACTTCTGCCGATCATTCCGATATCTAACCCTTCATCACAAGTTAAAAGATTGACAGAAATATTTAATTTGATAAATATTATATGTTTAGAGCAGTAATAATTAGTTATTGTTATTACTTCAATGAGTTATGGGTTGTAAGTTCACAGCTGTTTCATTGTTTCTGACAATTGTACAGAAGAAAACTTATAAGTTTCTAGCATAACTTCTGCCGATCATACATTTTTGTCAGCTCTTAGATAAACGTACAATTGTAACCCTGCACCACCAGTTTGACAGAAAATTTAATTAGATCGATATTAGTGTTTAAAGCAATAACAATTATTTATGGTTATTGCTTCAATGAGTTATGGTTTATATAAGTTCACAGCTGTTTGATCATTTCTGACAATTGTCCAAAAAAAAAAAAAAAAAAAAAAAAAAACCATAAATTTCTAGCGTAACTTCTGCTGATTGTACTTTTTGTCAGGTCTGAGATAAACTTCAATTTCTAACTCTTCATCACAACTTAGTTTGACCCTATAAATGTTTAAAGTAATAACAATTATTTATTGTTTTTACTTCAATGAGTTATGTAACTTCACAGCTGTTTGATCATTTCTGACAATTGTACAGAAGAAAACTCATAAGTTTCTAGCATAACTTCTGCTGATTATACTTTTTGTCAGATCTGAGATTCATTCTGATTTCCAACCCTTCATCACAAGTTAAAAGTTTGACAGAAATATTTAATTTGATCAATATTATATGTTTAAAGCAATAACAATTATTTATGGTTATTACTTCAATGAGTTATGGTTTATATAAGTTCACAGCTGTTTGATCGTTTCTGACAATTTTCCAGAAGAAAAACTCATAAGTTTCTAGCATAACTTCTGCTGATCATACTTTTTGTCAGATCTGAGGTTCACTCTGATCACAACTTAAAAGTTTGACAGAAAATTTAATTTGATCAATATTAGAGGTTAAAGTGATAATTTATTGTTTTACTTCAATGAGTTATGAGTTATATAAGTTCACAGCTGTTTGATTGTTTCTGATAATTTTCCAGAAGAAAACATAAGTTTCTAGCATAACTTCTGCTGATTGTACTTTTTGTCAGATCTGAGATTCATTCCGATTTCTAACCCTTCATCACAAGTTAAATGTTTGACAGAAATATTTATTTTGTTCAAAATTATATGTTTAAAGCAGTATATATATAAAGTGGAAGGTTTATGGGCCGACAAACAGCTGAGGTCATCGCCGGCCCTCCGCATGTATTCCTTCTCTTTCCTGTCTTTCTCGCGTATTTTGTATTGAACTGCAGCCATTTGAGCATCTCGATCTGGTTACTGACTCTCTGCTTTTACTTGTATATTACGCCATTATTTTAAAAAGCTAGCCTCTTGTTAGTACCTCAGGTTGTCAATTTAAGAATAGATACACAACATACAATACATAACATATATATCGCCACAAACATAGAAGTCTGGTCACATTCACTCCCCCAGAGTACTCGATATTCCTCGGGGCGGGGTTGAACCCATTTAAAGCAGTAATAATCAGTTATTGTTATTACTTCAATGAGCTATGGGTTATATAAGTTCACAGCTGTTTCATAATTCCTAACAATATTCTTGGTGAAAATCCCATAAATTGACAGCTTAGTATGCTATGTAATGGTACTTGGAGAACCAACCCAGCAACACCGCTCATAACTTTGTCATAAATAATTGTAATTATTTCCATTAAAACTGTGTTTGTTCTCTTTTTGTCGCTATTGAGGGGACGTGGGAGATCCAGGAGGAAAAAATCAATCTATAAGAAATATTAATGTGTAAAATAATAATTTATTGTTATTACTTCAATTTAGAATTATATAATTTCCTTAATTATTACTTTTTAAATTATCTTGGTATGATTGATATCAATCTTTAATATAAAAAGTCAGGAATACGGTCAATTTGAGAGACACTCTGTTCATCATCAGGTTTTCGAGGAATATACCCAATTCATCAAGACATTGAATATATTATTAATATTTCTTCTTTTTCTACTTACAGTTCTGAAACGTATGGTTTCAAACATATTGAATTTTCGAGGTGATAGTGAAACGAGATTTACAACCTGTCCATTTGCTAACAGAATTTTTCTGAGCAAAATACACAAATCTAAGGATAAAAGTATATGCTATATAATCATACATTTTGCTTAGCTCCGAGAAAATTCTCAGAGTACCAACCCAAACTTGGTTCTGCTAGTTCACTAAGTTTTGGCCATTAAAATTATTCTTAGTTAGATCATTGCTGTTGTTTTTTCTTGAGGAAAGTCAATAAATTTATAGAAAAAATTATACCCTGTTCATAATTTGTTTGATTGAATATACTCTGAAATTAAATTTTTTTAAATTTATTTTAAATTTCACTGTAGATAGTAAAATTTCCTTCTGTAGTTTGTGGTGTGATAAACCCGTAATTTGGTCTGACGATGGTGAAAATCTGATAGTGCAAACCAGCGAGAATAAGCAGACCAAATTACAGATTTACCTTAGAGTTAACAAAACGAAATACTACAATTTTCTATTTATTGATGAATAATGAATTTTTTGTCTTCTGATTGCAATTTTTTTTAAAGTCTGGAAGTATAATTATACCATTTGTATGATTATTTGTTAATTGTAATTTTTTAGAAGACGCCCCAAATGTTACCACAGTGCCACAACCAGGTCAACCAGTAGAAAAAAAGCTCCCTGCAAGCACGACAAATGGTGTTTCCGAAGTTGCAGCCGTGAGTATCTTTACATTTTTTGAAATCTTTTTTGTAATGACAAGTTTTCTTGTTGTAGAAAATAATCCAAAATGAAAAAGAAGCCGCAGAACACCCGCCCACGAAGAAATCAAAAGTCGATTTACAGTCTTTACCCACGAGGCAATACCTCGACCAAACTGTTGTTCCGATACTTCTCCAAGGCTTGCAGACATTAGTGAAAGAAAGGTAATCTACCTGAAGACTTGATTGTTCTCTTGACTAACTTTAGATTTTATTTTAGGCCCCCAGATCCAATCAGCTACTTAGCAGCTTACCTAATGAAGAACAAACAGCTTTATGAACCACCAGCGGCATCACCACCTACAGCAACGAACCCTCAGTGAATGTGTTTCGCCTAAGAATTTCTTTCAAATGAATAATACAAAGAAGATAAATAAATATTTGTAAAATAAAAGTGAGCCATTTGTTGTATAAATAAGATTAAAAATGAAACCAAATGCGTGCCTAATTGATAAAAACATTGATAATTTTAAATTTTTATAAAATGCTATTTCCTTTATAAACATTGGATAAACATAAAATCATGAGAAGGGTAAATTTCTTATAACATAGTGGTGTATTTCCCATTATTTTCAGTAATTTGAACTTTTTGACTCCCTTTTATTTTATTATTATTATTATTTTTTTTTTAAATATGTGTATTCAACCTTGAGGTATCTGGTCATTAGTGAAAAAAGATGTGGCATGTGGGTTACCTTTATTTTAAACCAAACTGAAGTCTTTTGGTAAGGTATGTTAAAGGAAAAACTGAATATCATTCAGTTTTGTTGTTGTCTATTTTATTGTCATAACTTTGTATAAATATCTGTGAAAATAAGGAATGGACTGAGTCAGTAATTGTGCCACCAAAATTATTTTGTAAGTAAATATTTTATTTTTGCGTTTATTTTTGGATTAAGATGACCTCTCTGGTTTAGCTCGTACTTGTTTACGCAATTAAAGCAAAAACGCTTCCAAGAGATTATTGAACAAGCGTTCTCAACATAGCTATGCTTTATTAAACACTCGGTTCAAATTAGACTCAATTGCAAGCCTTAACACGTTTCGTTATTTAATTTAATTTATATTGTCTCAAAGAAATGTCCAAAACTATAACAAGAACATTTTGTAAAAGATAATTGTATAAAAATAGTAAATTTTGTATTTGGTTCACTATGGCAGAAAGGACATGAGAAAACAGAACTTTAGCACATTTTTATTTCATCGATTTTATTTCTTGTCAGATGTTTGATAATTAATGATCATGGTTCATCGGATTTATATCTGTTGATTATTATCATCTGTAATAGTGGAACAAATGACAATTTACTCAAACATCACAACTTATAATTTTATCTAATAACATGTTATTAAAATAATGCGTTATGTTTCAGGTTATATCAGTTATAATATTTAATTATTGGTTGTGAAATTAAAATGACTTTTATATATGTTAAAGGCATGAAGTTAAAGTTATTTGTGGTTTTATTCAAATTGTCTGGTTAATATCAATGTTTATTTTAAGTATATACTTCAATTTGTTCATTTAATAAACTTATATTACCAAGGATAATAATTTCATTTATAAAGAATACTAGGATTAGTTTGTTGAATTAAAAAAAAATTAAATAATTGCTGGTTGATTAAAATTTCATCCCAGATTAGATTAGTAGTAATTAATTTAAAATTTAGATTAAGTTAAGTATTTCCTGTTGTAAAGGAGCCAGGAGAGCTTTAGTTCCAGCTGAAAAATGGTCAAATCACTTTTACAATACTTTTTGCATATTGACAATTACAATAGTTAGGATTTGAACTGACCTAGCATGGCAAATACAAATCAGAAGCCGTAACCATTCGGTCACCGTGGTTCTTTAAGTTGATTACATTTCTGGTCTCAGAGTAAAGATCATGAAAGTGTTACCACCTGCAACTTAGCAGGAAAATCAGTGGAAACTGCCTTGCACTCACTAATAGGCAGGATCGAGAAATCATTTAATAATGAATATACACTAGGTTGCTTCTTTGATACCCAAGGGGCGTTTCATAATGCTGATACTTCTTGCATTATATCAGCATTAGATAATTACAATGTCGACCATCACCTTACTAGATGGGTGAAGACCTACTAAGTGGGGAGGATGGTCAATATGTGCTTAGGTGGTAGCACTCTTAGAATTAATGAGGAGGCTGTTTGTCACCTCTTTTATGGCTAATTACAGTAAACAGCTTAATAGAACTTCTGAATAATTCACGCTTCTACAGTCAATTATTTTCAGATGATGGTACCATAATGCTCACAGATAGAGATCCCTTGACTCTCACTACTGATGGAAAACACCATGGGATTGCTTTATAGGTGGTGTTGTGACAAAGGTTTATCAATTAATCCTGCTAAACTAGAATTGATGTTTAGCAGGAGAACAGGTAATTTTAAAAACCCTAAATGTCAGGGCATAGAATTAAAGTTAGTGGATTCCATCAAATTCCTTGGTGTGACACGGCAGGAAACTCGATTGGATAGGTCATATTAGGAAACATACAGGTAGTCATATATAGGTCATACAGGAAAGGCACTATATCAATGGTACAATGTAGGAGAATTGTCAGTAAAACATTGGGTAGCCAAATTATTGCAATTATTCTCCCTAGATTCTTTTTCGCAGCTTTAGTAGGTCTAGAAAATAAAGGGAATAGTAATAAATTAAGGTCATTTCAAAGACTAGGTTGTTTGATGATGACAGGAGCATTTTCAACTACACCCACCCTAGCTCTTGAAATCATAACCAATACCACACCACTTCACATTGAGGTTAAGGTCAGAGCTGCTACAGATTAATTAGCGAGGGCAACTGGAATCATAAGTGCAACAACATAGGTCACTCAAAAATTTCACAACTATTGTGTAAGGTTAACGATCAATTATTAAGCGTTAGTGATAAAAAGATTAAAACCCCTTCGGGGAAAAGGCACTTTCAGGTAGTCACCCCTTGTGATTACAATTATAGTTTTGATGAAGACTATCGTAACTGCTACCAGAGATGGTTCACTTATCAAAGGTAGAGGGAGTGGTGCAGGAATCTACATACCAAAATTAGGAATCAGCATCTCCTCCCCTCTTGGCAATAACACCTCCGTTTTTCAGGTGGAAATCTGGGCCATCAAGTGTGTTGTAGAACACTTATGGAAAATAAAATTAAGGGAAAAGATATTAAAATCTTTTCTGACAGTCTGGCTAGTCTTAGGGCATTACAAAAAGATTTGTCAACCTCATGACTGGTGGAGGAAACTATAGATCTTATCAATAGGATCTCTTTCAGGTTTGAGAATAAGGTGACCCTTATTTGGATACCAGCACATAAAGGACACCATGGCAGTGAAAAGGCGGATGGCCTAGCCAAAGAAGGTTCTAATACTGCATTTGTCTGACCACAACCGGTATTACCTCACTCTATGAGCACAGCGAAAGAGAGTATTAATAACTGGGGCATGAAACAATTCCTTAGGGAGTGGAATTTATCCCCCGGACACAGGAAATCGAAGAGTTTGTTAAGGCGATCAAACCAGCAGAATCGAAATGGCTATTCTCTATCTCAAGGAAGGGAATTAGGAGGCTGATAGGTATTCTGACGGCCACTACCCACTGAGAAGACACCTCTTCGTAATGGGTATCCTACCAGATCCCTTTTGCTGTTTTTGCGAAATAAAAGAAGAAACGGCAGGGCACTACCTCGCAGAATGTGATAGGTATGCTAGGTCTAGATTTGAAATCTTTGAAGGAGAGGACATCACTCCCTGAGATAAAATGGTCCAAAATCTTGGGGTTTGTGAACAAGTCCAAGAGGTTTATGCAGGACACGTGAACCGACCAAGTCCCGGACCTTTTAGGGATGGGGTACGAGTCTACCCAGGCATTTAACCCCTCGGGTCTTGGTCGCCCACCCCGCATAATATATAATATATATACCACCTGCAACAATAAGGGATGTTACCAGCCTGCAGAGTTTTGGCTAAGATTGTCGTTAAAAGAATTAAAGCCGCTGTGGGAAAGCTACTGAAAAACAGCTGTATAGATATTAATACAATGCAAATTATAGTCGAGCAATGTGTCAAGTGCAGAGCCTGTGTATTTTTTAAATACATATTTGAAAAGGCTGAATCGACCAATTGTGGACAAATGTGGTTCCTTTCCTTCTGGAAAGATGGCATTCTCACAAAAATCGTAACGTGATTAAATGTATATACCAAGGATACGATTGTCAAGTGATCTATGAAGGCTTTTAGTACAGTGAAATGTGGGGTTAATCAAGGATGCGTCTTGCCACCCACCCTATTCGTTTCTGGTACAGGATGAAGTCAATGCACACTCTGGAATTGAGGGAAATAGGTATTCAATGGTATTGCAGGTATAAGTGACCTGTAAGCCAAAATAATGGCCCTAAATTACACCCAAAGGGCTTTTAAAAAAAAGTATAAAATAATGAAGGAAATAAGAATAAATCCTAGAATGGTTAGCTTGCTGGTGCTGTAAGACAAACTAGAAGCCGTTGATTTCTTTACCTACCTAGGAGGAGGTGAAGAATAAAATTAGGAGTCGACTGTCAATTTATACCCGACATGGAGAAACAAAACCATCTCTACGCAAACCAAACTTAAGCAGTTCAACATGGATGTCAAGTTCATCGTATTATATGGATCAGGGACTTGGAAAATCACCAAAACTGTGACAAGTGATGAAGCAGATTCTGAACAAATAAGAAACGTAGAGCTATGGAACAGAACTGGCCAGCTTCTATATATCCTGAACATATGAAAAAGGATTGGACATATACTGAGAAATTTATTTTAAAATAAAAGTTATACAAGCATTCTACACAAATTCTCAATCGTCAGTATGTTAGAGAAGGCATAACAGATTGGTAACTGTTGGGGTGAAACAAGGCTGCATACTGAGCCCACTCCTGTTTGCACTCTTCCAGCATGATTTAGTCAGGAGTGGAAACTGGCAGAACAGCGATCAAGATTTTGATGTATGCTGAAGAATTTAGTGGTTAATACGGCAAGCTCTAAAATAATTGAGTTCAAGAAGGGAGACAGGCTATTAGGGACCAGTCAATCTTTAACAAAAACTACCACAAAATTGTAAATGAGTATAAGTATCTTGGTGTTTCCTTGTCTTCACGTTTGTCGCTACTCCATCACATTAATAGAAAAGTATCCGCAACAAAACTAGCTCTGAACAGCATTTGGCATGACTTCATCTCACATGATATGATTCCCCTGCCTACAAAATTAAAACTATTTAATTCAATATGCCATTTGATTCTCTGTTATGCTGCTCAGGTATGCTATGAAAGGTTTGAATCGCGGGACAAGATTCAACGCTTCTTCTAAAGAAAGTTATTTGCCTTCTATTATCTCTCTAATGAGCTGTGAATGAACTATAAATTTTTTTTAGGAGTTGATTTTTGGGCTATTTTGGTATATTGGCTTATTCGTTAGGTGCTGATGTTTTTTCTTGATTTTTTTTTTTTTTTTTGTAACAGGAAGAGTTGGTGATTTTTCGCCACATAATGTAAACAATCGGCCCGCTATTTTTAAAGAAATGCTTGTTAAATTAAAATTTGTTTCTGCACTCTAGTAAAGAGTCTCATCCTACTTCACGTTTGTTATTTTACAAATGGCTCAGATATGTTTAGCTTAATTACAGATACATAATTCCCAAGGGTTGTATTTGGGTGAACTTTGCTGGCTTTTCAAGATCAGAGGTGATCTTTTATATCTAAATGGTGCCCCTTTTCAACATTTGGGAAATGAACAGTGTCTATGCGATTCAGGTGTTAGGGAGGACATAGTTCATTTTTTAGCTGAATGCACCATTTTGTCAGAGATCCGCTGTTTACACTTGAATTATTCTGTAATTGAAAAAGACCAGTTTAATGTTCTATATAAGTTTAAGAATTTAATTCTAATGAATTCTGAAAAAACTTGAACTGAAAGTAGAAAATTGGAAAAAGCCAAAACTTGTCCTTTGGACTATTTTTGCCATTTTCCAAATCCAACTCCTACTAACTTGTACTAGGCTGAAAAAAAAGATTATAATAAATGGAAAGGTTGACAAATGTAAAAAGTCCTGAAATTAGACAATTCTAAAAAAACCAAATTGGTCCTTTTGCCATTTTCCAGATTAATCGATATTTCGTACAATTTTCACCTCCTATTAACTTGGACTAGGTTGAATAAACAGTTTATGACAAATAGGACGATTGAGAAATGTAAAAAGTCATGAAATTAGACAATTCGTAAAAGCCAAAAGTGGTCCTTTTGCCTATTTTTGTCATTGTCCAGATTCATTGATATTTCATACAATTTCACCTCCTTTTAACTTGGATTAAGCTGAAAAAACAGTTTAAGACAAACGGGAAGATTGAGAAATGTAAAATTCGTGATATTAGAAAATTCGAAAAAGCCAAAATTGGCTTTTTTGCTATTTTTGCCATTTTTGAAATTTATCCATATTTCCTACATTTTTCACCTCTTATTATCTTGGACTAGGCTGAATAAACAGTTTATGACAAATAGGACGATTGAGAAATGTAAAAAGTCTTAAAATTAGAAAATACGAAAAAGCCAAAATTGGCCTTTTTGCCTACTTTTGCCATTTTCAAGATTTATCGATATTTCAAACATTTTTCACCTCCTATTAACTGAGACTAGGCTGAATAAACAGTTTAAAACAAACGGGACGATTGAAAAATGTAAAAAGTCTTGAAATTAGACAAGTCGAAACAACCAAAACTGGTCCTTTTGCCTATTTTTGCCATTTTCCAGATTAATCAATATTTTGTACAATTTTCACCTCCTATTAACTTGGACTAAGCTGAAAAAACAGTTTATGTCAAATGGGACATTGAGAAATGTAAAAAGTCTTGAAAATAGAAAATTCAAAAATGCAAAAACCTGACCTTTTGCCTATTTTTGCCATTTTCCATAATTATCAATATTTGATTCATTTTCACTTCCTAATTACTCGGACGAGGATGAATAAATAATTTAGGACAAATGGGACGATTGACGAATATAAAAAGTACTGAAATTAGAAAATTGGAGAAGCAAAAACTTGTCCTTTTGGGTATTTTTGCCATTTTCCAAATTTATTGATATTTCCTACATTTTTCAACTCCTACTAACTTGTACTAGGCTGAAAAAACAGATTATAATAAATGGAAAGGTTGACAAATGTAAAAAGTCCTGAAATTAGACAATTCTAAAAAAACCAAACGTCCTTTTGCCTATTTTTGCCATTTTCCAGATTCAGCGATATTTCGTACAATTTTCACCTCCTATTAACTTGGACTAGGTTGAATAAACAGTTTATGACAAATAGGACGCTTGAGAAATGTAAAAAGTCCTGAAATTAGACAATTCGAAAAACCAAAATTGGTCCTTTAGCCTTTTTTTTGTCATTTTCCATAATTATCGATATTTGATTCATTTTTCACTTCCTAATTACTCGGATTAGGATAAATAAACAGTTTTTTGACAAATGGGACGATTGACAAATGTAAAAAGTCTTGAAATTAGACAAGTTGAAACGGCCAAAATTGGTCATTTTGCCTATTTTTGCCATTTTCCAGATTAATCTATATTTCGTACATTTTTCACTGCCTAATTACGTTGACTTGCCCCAATAAACAGTTTATAACAAATGGGACGATTGACAAATGTAAAAATTCCTGATATTAGAAAATTCGAAAAACCAAAACTGGTCCTATTGCCTATTTTTGCCATTTTCCAGATTCACCGATATTTTGTACTATTTTCACCTCCTACTAACTTGGACTAGGCTGAAAAAACAGATTATAATAAATGGAACGGTTGACAAATGTAAAAAGTTATGAAATTAGACAATTCTAAAAAACCAAACTGGTCCTTTTGCCTATTTTTGCCATTTTCCAGATTCATCGATATTTCGTACAATTTTCACCTCCTATTAAGTTGGACTAATTTTTGAAATTAGAAAATTTGAAAAACAAAATTGGTCCTTTAGCCTCCTTTTGCCATTTTCCATAATTATTGATATTTGATTCATTTTTCACTTCCTAATTACTCGGAATAGGATGAATAAACAGTTTATGACAAATGGGACGATTGACAAATGTAAAAAGTCTTAAAACTAGAAAATTCAAAATAGCCAGAACCAGTCCTTTTGCCTATTTTTGCCTTTTTCATAATTATCGATATTTGATTCATATTTGATTCATTTTTCACTTGGACTAGTCTGTATCATTCTGACTTCCGGTTTTTCATAGTTTATTATTATTATTATTTTTTAACTTTTCGTAATGTAAATCACAAACACCGACTAATATTTCTAAAATTACGCAGTTTGATGGTCTAGTTTGTTCAGGAAACCTTTAACTTGGCAAAGAAAAAAAAGTTAAATATTTTTATAAAAACTTTTTTTTTAATTTTGATTGTAACTGTTTATACGTTGTAAGTTTATTAACAAATTCCTTCTGGAAATTGAATTTTAAATTTGTATTTCCCGCGACGCAAAGAATACAATTTGAAAAATTCATGTTTACACTCTTTTACTTAATAAAGGCTAAATTTAAACAACAAAATCGGTTTAAAAACAAAACTTATTCACTAAAGATGTAAAGAATAAGGTTTATTACCAATTAACACAATATAAATTAAAAAGAAATAATCATTTTGAATTATAATCTAAAAATCAAGTCAGTTGGGGGTGGTCTTGGATATCAGGGATTTTTGGTTAATTGTCATCAACAGGAAAAATATCTTTGGCAGATAAGTCATAAAAGTTTTCAATTGAGCTTCTCAGACAGGCAAAATCGAGGGGGCGGAGGAAAAAGAGCTCCTCCGCCTCCACCTCTGTTGGAGTTTTCCGTCCTCAATCTCGCAATATTTTTTAGGCAAGAGAGAGAATTTTCTATCACTGATGAATATAGTTTGGAACTTTGGATACATACTGGACAAAAATTACCTCCCTGGGCTTGGCAATGTAACAGGAAAAACATCAACAAAAACGGTTTAAGCACATTATCTAAACATTAAAAAATAAAATACCACCACTCATACGATAGTTTAAAATCCACTTAAAAAGTAAAGTTAAACTCTAATCTAAATTTAAAAAAGTTACAATTGGGTTAAAAGTTCAAATATAAATTGTGATCTCTGACCTTTTGAAAGGAAAATCACAGACAGAAAATCTCTTTGTAAGTAATTTTTTCGTCATTGATAGTCCCCTTAAACCACGTCTCAGTTACTGACTAGGGGAAGCAAGGTCTGTAAATAATTCAAAACAATGTTCACACCTCAGATGGTATAAAAATCGAGCAATTAACTTGGACTCTACTCTAATCCTGGAATCATAGTAGTACACTTGATAAAAGACTAAAAAGAGACAGTAGATATTGGCAAACTGGTGAAACGCGTCTTCAACTCATAGCGTCGATGGGATCTCTCTCATCCCTCGATACCAAGCTTATACTGCCATCCCTCACTCACCCTACAAGGCAGTGAGTTCAATAAAATTCAAGTTCATCAGAATAGAGTACTGAGACTCATCACGTCCGTGGTTCATATGGAACCAAGTGGCCCAGGGAGAATTGGATGTTCCAGAGGACAGCATAGCTGTCCCCAAGCGTACTACCGCCTCCACAGCCCAATACTTTTCGTTTCACCCAACCTCTATCTCCTCTGATTGACGTCTGAAAAATAAACTGAAAATCTCCGCCCTGAAGAGCTATTAAAACTAGCAAGTATCCTTCAAAATTTGTTCTATTTCATATTATTCTGTATTACGCTTAATTAACGTGACAAAATTAGAAAATAAAGTTGTCAGGATGAGTCATTTTTTATCCGGGTACCGTCTGTATAACTTTAACATTTTCGTAAGTCCACAGGCGGAACTTGCTCCTGACGTATCTCGCTTCCAGGATGGGTTTCCGACTCGGGTTCGGAATTCCGGAAAGAAATCCGACACGTCGTCAAATAAATATTGACTTACTCCAACAGCCCACCCAGAGCAGGGGGTCTCGCCCGGCGAAGAGAAAGAGGTTGGGACCGCTATGAATGAAAGGTGGGAGATTCTCTTCCTTCAACCTTCACCGCGGGCCGATTCACTCAGTCACCTGTGCCTTCTTAGAGACATCGACATGGTACCACCTTCGTAACTGGCCACGAACGAACACAAACAGTAAGTCCATTCATCATTGGATAATTTTTTATATATATAAAAAAATTGATTTTGAAACAACAAATAAGACGAGAAAACACATATTGCAATTCAATGGCACCAAAACTCGTTTGATATGAAACGCCTTCTTTTCAACGTAAAATGAACTAAAAAATCTTTTTTTCTATAATTTTCAAGTAAAAAAACTTCTGGTGAATACAAATTGGATTCAATGTTACAAAAAACTCTTTTGATCTGAAACTTATTTGCAAAAAAAATGAACTTGTTTTTTTTTTCAATTATTTTCTAGTAATAAATTCTGGTGAACACAAATTGGAAACTCTTTTTTTGTCAATTATTTACGAGTAAAAAATTCTGGCGAACACAAATTGCATTCAACGGCACCAAAACTCTTCTGATCTGAAACTTCTTCTTTGCAATATACAATTAACTTTTTTTTCAATTATTTTCGGGAAAAAAATTCTGGTGAACACAAATTGGATTCAACGGCACCAAAACTCTTCTGATCTGAAACTTCTTTGCAATATAAAATGAACTCTTTTTTTCAATTATTTCCGAATAAAAAATTCTGGTGAACACAAATTGCATTCAACGGCACCAAAACTTTTCTGATCTGAAACTTCTTCTTTTCTATATAAAATTAACTAAAAACACTTTTTTTTTCTATAAATTTCCTTAAAAAACTTTGGTGAACACAAATTGTATTCAACGGCACCAAAACCCTTCTGATCTGAAACTTCTTCTTTGCAATATAAAATTAACTCTTTTTTTTTTCAAATATTTTCGAGTACAAAAATTCTGGTGAACACAAATTGCATTCAACGGCACCAAAACTCTTCTGATCTGAAACTTCTTCTTTGTAATATAAAATTCTCTTTTTTATCAATTATTTTCGAATAAAAAAATTCTGGCGAACACAAATTGCATTCAACGGCACCAAAACTCTTCTGATCTGAAACTTCTTCTTTGCAATATAAAATGAGCTAAGCACCCTTTTTTTCTTTCTATAAGACCGGTAGAATTAAAGAAATCTTTGCTAAAACATTGATCATCACGGGATTGCAACAATTTGTCGTGGTAAAACTATACAAATTTATAATTAAAATTTTTACAACCACCCTTAACAAATTATAAACGTGACATGTCCGGAAAATGTAAACATGGTTGCGAAGGTTTTTTTACTAGTTTGGATATTCAAAAAAAGGGCAACATGTAAAAGATATATCAAAATATATCGTACATACACAAAAAAATCTATTTGACATAAGATTTTAACACGATAATTGTTCTAAGAAACATGTATTCTTCTATTCCCCTAGTTTGTTTTGCTTTTTAATAAAATTTATCCAAGAAAAATATGACTCCAGATCATATTTACTTCATTTTAGCTTTTCTTAATGTTTAAATATTATTACATAGATTTTAATTAACTTAAAGTCTATTTTATTTATTGTTGTGTTGTTAAAGTACAGCCGGGTTGCTGTTCTCCACGTATTCATTTTCTGCTTAAAATGTAACGGTTCTTTTTTGAACCGGGTCACGGAAAATTGCCTTTATATTTTTTTAAAATGCGAAAATCTTTGTTTATTTTATTTTGTTATTTCGTTACTTTTGTGTTGAACATTTCAATTTGTTTGTACTGCAATGGCCGTAAATTTGACACGTTAAGGGGAAAAACGATTCGCCAAGTATGACAGGCGTGTCTGTCGCGACGAATACTTTTACCAAAATGAAAGTGCTGGATGCTATGGAAGAAAATACTCGATAAAAATCTTTAACTGTTTAAATTTGATTATTTTTTACTTATTTTTAGCCAGTTTTTTTCCTAGAGATTAAGAGTATTATTGCAGGACAGTTTGAAACAGTGATGCCCGAACAGCAGTCAAGTTAAGATTCTCATGTTGAAGAAGGTCGGTGAATAAATACGAAAATCATTATAAACGCCTATACAATAAACTTAGATAACGGTTCTCCGGAAGGAACTAGGTTACCCTTTGTGGATGAAGAGGCGTCGGGTCGGAAGCCCGAAAGAAATTGATTTAAATGCCAACATCGTCGGGTCGCGGGCCTATCACAGTTAATCCGTGCGCTTTGAATTTTAAAAGGACTGTTAGCGGGTTAATTGATTTAATAACTGTCGTTATTCGTACTGATGAAGACGATGCAGCAGTGTCGGTCGAAGGTAAAATTTTCGACGGCCTCTTTGTAACCTGTGTGATAAGCCTTTTTTAATTAAAAAAATTACATGCAAAATTGATAAAATTTGAACAAAGAAGGAAACCGAACTGAAACGGCAAAGATAATCCATATCGCCTGATCCCACCAAAAACTCATCTGATCTGAAAATTCTTCTTTTCGATATAAAACGAACTAAACACTTTTTTCCTATAAATTTCAAGAAAAAAAAAACGGGAATATAAAAAGTTGGACTCAACGCCACCAAAACCCATCTGATCTGAAACTTCTTCTTTTCAATATAAAACGCCCTAAAAACTGTTTTACGTATAAATTTCAAGAAAAAACTAGGGAACACAAAAAGTTGGATTCAACGCCACCAGAACTCATCTGATCTGAAACTTCTTATTTTCAATATAATATTAACTAAATTTTTTTTCTATTATTTTAAAATACAAAAATCCCTGGTGAGCACAAATTGGATTCAACGCCACCAAAACTCATCTGATCTGAAACTTCTTATTTTTCAATATAAAACGAACTAAAAACTTTTTTACGTATAAATTTCAAGAAAAAACTAGGGGACACAAAAAGTTGGATTCAACGCCATCAAAACTCATCGGATCTGAAACTTCTTCTTTTCAATATAAATCGAATTAAAAACTATTTTTCCTATAAATTTCAATTTAAAAAAAAACTAGAACACTTAAGTTGGATTCAACGCCACCAAAATTATTCTGATCTGAAACTTCTTTTTTTCAATATAAAACGAACTAAACTCTTTTTTTTTTTTCTATTATTCTGCGAGATAGACGGATCGGAGAAATGATCAGAATAGATCAGTTCAGTATGAATTCATCTACTCGTAAACCAACCAATTTTAATATTTTTCTTTGTATTAACAAGAATTTTTTTTTCTAAGGACTAAACAAGATACAATAACAGAAAATTTTGCAAAAAAAATTTTGAGTTGAAGAATAGAGAAATATGTTACTAAAAAATCTAAAGTTTTCAAGCAAAAAGGCTAAGAAGAAATAGCCTATGCAAGGGAACATGGAACAAGAAGAGATGTACCAATGCACCTCACCCAAGAATTGGAAAATGAGAAAAAAGAGACATCAATGAAGACGTCCCTCAGGTCTACAAGTAAAAATTTTAAGTTTCGTGTGCACGATGAAAAATTATGATTATCCAAGCAGGTTTTTATTAAAGAAAAAAGATTTAATTTATAAATTTCTGTAGAATTTATAAACTAGGGCCTACAGTTTTAGTGACATCATTAAGATTCGCGTGAAAAACTATAAGAAATTTAATTATATAAATTTGTAGGCATTTTTAAATTTTTTACGCTTTTACGTAACAGTTTTGATCTAATTGTAAGTTGATATTTACCTTCTAAGTCTTTATGTGGAATATTGACCATGATCTCTCAAATGATCGGCATGTTTGATTCAGAAACCCACCCACGATCATTCGCATCGGACTTTTGACTCTTCTGCACTTTTCAATGTACCGAAATGATTTTTACTTACACCTTGGAATGCGGAGAGTTCAAAAGGAGAAGTTGAACCAGGAGGAATTCATAGAATTTCTCGTTTGGAACGAGTTTTATCAGGTCAATTCGAAATTTCTAGAGACATACTTAGACGGCGGGATATCTGTCTTTCCCTCCCAAAAAAAGGTCCCAGAGCGAAAAAAGCCCCATTTGTAAAAGATCTCTTTCTCGAATGAACCAACAGTTTGAATTGTAATGATATTAATTCATTATGCAAAAAAATGTATAAAATCAACATCGTTCACTCTCGTTGTGTAATCAAAATTTTTCCAAGTTCTGTAAATAAAACTCTGGTTATTTAACCAGATATTTCGCTCATTAGTTAAATAACGCACTGGTAGGATAAAGATGGATATTTTATACCAGTTTTAATTTGCAAGACGATTATATTGATAGTTTACTTTCCCCTATAATTTAATACTCGGTTGTGTTCATTAACGCCTTTTCGCTGGGTTGATCGAATATTTAAAAAAAAAGAACTGTCTAATGGGAACGTTTCAGTTTCATTTTTTCTCCCTTCATTTGAAACATGTCTGACTGTTTTTCCCCCTGAACCGCCGATCAGACCATATGGGCAAGATAAACGATGGACCGCAAGACAATCATCTTCTGGGTGTTCCGGATAAAAGAACCTTTTTTTTCTGTTGTTCGAACTGAAAAACCTAAGAACAACAAAACAACTTAAGAATCATTCAACACACGCAACAACTTCGGTTTCTGTTAATAAACCTGAACCAGATTTTTAATATATAAAATTAAATCCGCTTTATCCACAAATGCTAACATTCAAATGTTATGCAATTTTTTTTACATAATAAAACTTTAGTAGAGGACCGCCACGCCATTGTTTCTAGGTTCGTGAACAATAAGATAAGCTAGTGTGCACTTAAAATATAAAATAATGAGAGACAAGGGAAGAGAGAGAGAGATAGATAGATAGATAGATAGATAGATAGATAGATAGATAGATAGATAGAGAGAGAGAGAGAGAGAGAGAGAGAGAGAGAGAGAGAGTTCAATCGAGAAATGAAACTTGATAGATAGTTCCATCGATAAATAGAGAGATAGCACATATAAAGATAAGAAGATAGATAATAGAGAGAGAAAAAAGAAAGAAGGAACAGGAGAATAAGAAGAAAGAGAGGAGGGAAAGGGAACAAATAAAGAAAAAAAGAAGAGAGAGAGAGAGAGAGAGAGAGAGAGAGACAGACAGACAGACAGAGTTAGAGAAAGAGCGATTTATATACATATTGTACTTACTCAATTGCAA